TTAAGTAGATTCTTGAACATATAAGTATATTTCTTACTGACAGTAAAAATTATCTGAAGGCATGATAGTACAGGCTACAAGTGGTATGTAGTCTCAGCCACTTGGAGAGGCTAAGGAGGGAGGACCTTAAGCTTAAAGCTAGCCTTAGCAACATGGGAGGCCTGTCTCAGAAGAAAAAACAAAGAAAAGAAAAATTGTTCTCAAGAAACAGCATCTGCTGGGGCTGGGAAGGTGGCTCAGTGGTAGAGTGCTTGCCTTGCATGCATGAGGTCCTGGGTTTGATTTCTCAGCACCACATAAGCAGAAAAAGCCAGAAGTGGCTCAAGTGGTAGTGCACTAGCCTTGAGTGAAGAACTGAGGGACAGTACCCAGACCCAAAGTTCAGACCCATGACCGACAAAAAAAAAGAAAGAAAAAAAAACAGCATTTGCTATTTATAAAAATGTAAGCCAAACATTACATGCGTTGCTGCAGAGATGTAAGAGTACTTTTCAGGTGTCCTCTATTCACTCCTTTAAATTTGAAGGAAGTAAATAGGGTCAGGTAGTGTACAGATAGACTGTGGCAAAGAGAATTCACAGTTAGTTTCCAGAACCGAGCTGAAATTGAACCCCAGTTCAGCTGGTCTTGAAATGTAAAGTACTTAAAATGTCTAATTATATTAACTTAGTATTAATGAAGTTCCGATTCGATTTAGTTATTTCTTTATGACAGAACATTTTCAGTTCCTTTTACTATTTCTTGAATAGTAATATTCCCTTCCTCTTTTCTGCTTTTACAGAAAGTAGAAGGAAGGAGGATTAGTGGGTAATTATATTGCCTATGATTGCAGCACCTGTGTGTTATTTCTTTTGATTGACTACTTCTGTATTAAAGATTCCTACCAGCTAAATCTCCCTTATCAAAATCTTTTTAGCTAATTTTAGCTTGAGTTACTCTAGATTTATAAGAAAAATATTCTGAATTCAACTTAAATTTGTACTTTAAATTTTCTGGATTTTTGTTGGTGGTAGTGGTGATTTGCCTTTATCTTTTTTAATCATCTTAACCATTTCAGGGTTGTTGTTGTTTAATTTCAGTTCCATTGGCAACACTCATAGTAGGAATGTGAGCTTTCTGATGACTAGCCACTGAATTTCTTTGTGCCAATCAATGTATAGGTACTAATAACTCTTCCCTAGAAGGCTGCCTTTAAATTTTTTTTTAAAAAGTACATATCAGCCAGGTGCCACTGGCTCAATCTTAGTTACTCAGCAGGTTGCAATATAAAGATAGAGATTCAGCCTGGACAGGAAAGCCTGTGAAACTCTTTTTTTTTTTTTTTGGGGGGGGGGGTCCGGTCATGGGGCCTGAACTCTGGGCCTGGGCACTGTCTCTCAGCTCTTCAGCTCAAGGCTAGCACTCTACCACTTGAGCCACAGCGCCACTTCCGGCTTTTTTCTTTTTGCTTATGTGGTGCTGAGGAATCGAACCCAGGGCCTCAGGCATGCAAGGCAAGCGCTCTACCACTGAGACACCTTCCCAGCCCCAGTCTGTGAAACTCTAATCTCCACTAAACTATACAAAAAGTCCTTTAAGTGATAGAGTTGTAGCTTTGAACAAAAAGCAGCTTAGGAACAGCACCCAGGCCCTGAATTCAAGCCCAGAACTAGCACCAAAAAAAGGTTATTTATTTTAAGGAGATAGAAGAATTCACAACTGTAAGATTCTGACTACAATTGCAGATATGAACAGTATTGTTGGGAACTTTATGACTGCAACCACAAAAGGACCCTGTTGTGGACCCAAGACTGTGGTATAAATACTTAAAGTTCATTATATCTCCTTAGTATGTTTTCTGAAGTAAATGAAGATATATATATATTCAATTATAGTATAATAAATTATGTTGGTTTTGATGTTTTTAATTTAAATTTTTCCATTAAAATTGTAAGATTATAAAAAACATTTAGCTTTTAGAAGATGAGTTACCTTAGACTATAATTATTTACCAAGTGAACAATGTTTTCTGAAATTAACCTGCCAATAATAAAACTAGATATGTGTGTGTGTGTGTGTGGGTGTGTGTGTGTGTACCATCTTTTCATTTAAATCAGTCGTTAAAGGTTATTTTTCTTGAGTCTAGAGGCATGGCTCAGTTGATAGAGCACAAGTCAGTGAGTGAAAGTGTTAGGTTCCAAGTTTGAGTCCCAGACTCTTCCCTTCTCCCCCCTCAGAAAATTTGTTTTTCTTTGCCATGTAGACTTCAATTTTTTTTTAAATCATTTTAGGCCAGGTACCAGTGGCTCATACCTATAATCCCATCTACTCAGGAGGCTTGGATCTGAGGATTAAGGTTCAAAGCCAACCTAGTCAGGAAAGTCTATGAGACTCTTACCTCCAAAAAATTAGAAGTGGAGCTGTGGCTCAAAGAAAGCTTTGAGTTCAAGACCCAGGACCAGGGGGAAAAAAATCCATCATTTAAAAAAAATTACTGAAATTTAATTAAACCCATTTATATCTTATATAAAATGAAAATATTGTATTTAGTTTTTAGAAACAGTGTACTATTGTATTTAGTGTAATATTGTATTTAGTTTTTAGAAACAGTGTTCTATGGTTTCTTCAGTTTTATAAACCTTTTCTGTAGCAAAGTAGATTACCCTTCAAAATGTGTTGTATTTAGATAATCATTTGCTTGCTTTGGAAATATCCTCCCTGTTTTACAAATATTAACATTTGCTTTCCTTCTGCCTAATTTTTTGTGTAATCTCTAAAATAAAATATAAAGTAAAATATTTCATTTATAGGTCCTCTGAAAGTAGAGCATTTTCAAAGCAGGTAGGTGTCTCCACCCTACTTTTTCATGAAGCGTTTTACCCATTCAAGCAGACTTTTAAAAACAGCTTGTTTTGATAGCAGACTGTTCTCCTGTGGGCCTTCAGCCCTTGCTTCCTGGCAGCACCTTTGGTGCGAAAAGAGAGTGATCAATTGGGAGACTATCAGTGCCAGCATGCATAGAGTGATAAGTTAACACACCACTGGGAATTTCTAGGGCCCACCAAGATACTTCACTTCTAATGTGCTAACAAGCTCATTTTTCTACCTCTTGCCTCTTCAGTTATTTTTTTTTCTCAGAAGAGCTTAGAAGTTGAGTGCATCAGGCATAATGAAAAGCTCTGTAGGAGGGAGAAGCAATAACCCCATTTTTCCCTTTTCAGCCAAATAGAAAATTAGTTTCTGGTAATACACAAAGGCCAGTATTTTTTGTACAAGGGGCACTGCTGTGAATCAAAGGACTCTATTAACTGCAGAAAATTCGGCAGCTGTGAATCTCCCCCAATGAAAAAAGTACTTTCCAACAAGTTGTGAGATATGTGGTATTATTTAGATTGAACCATCAGTTTCATCCTCTTCCATTTATAACCATATACCCTCTTTTAAAAGTGTGATATATTATTCTTCTATGGTAAATTGGACTTAAAAATGTTATCCTTCCATAAAATCCTTTCTTACCACCAATCATTTTAGTTATAGCATCTGTTGTAACTCTTTTCATGAGTAAAATTCTTTAAAGTTCATCCCGGTGTGTCCAGTGTGTACAGAATTGAAAATATGAAATTGTAAGGAAGTGGAATTCAAGTTATTTCAATATTTGATATATAAAATTGTAATACAGAGATAGTATACAAGCCACTTAAAAGCAAAAGACATAATCATCAAAGTTCATTGTTGAATAGATATCCATTACAATCTTAGTTTTGACTCTTAGGCTTTTCTTAATCTCTTTGCAGTCAATAAATCTTTATAACTAGCCACAGTGTCTCCCATTGAATTATCACTTAAGCTATAATTTCTAGAATTGTAGAACTGTAATAAATTACAATCTTAAAAATAACAAAATTTGAGAAGGAAATATTAAAATGGGCTTTAGAAAAAATTCAGCAAAGAGAACCAATTCGCAAATTTCTATTGTCCCTGTTTAAATGTCTCATGTACATGTTTTATTATCCTTATTTAAATGTCAATGTAGCACATCCAGTACAGCAGGAAAACTTTTCAAAGTTGTAGAAGAAAGGTTAACTGATTTCTCAGTTCAGGAACTATACGACATGAAGTCAGCATGTGAGTTTTTCCTGATAATTGTATGTTGCTGCCTGCTGCTCTACATTTTGACAGCCATTTCCATAGTTGCTTTCGTGAACAACAGAAATATTCTCTCTCTTTCTCGCCCTCTCTGTGCTAACAGCACAATCAGACCTGCTGAAACAGGAAGCCTGGAGTGGGTTGTTCAAAAGCAACAACACTTCAAGGTACTGGTTGCTTGTCAATAATATCAGAGAAGAAAATGTGGTGAAAGGGAAGTACAGTATTTTTCTGTCAGTGTCAGTACCCTGTAGATGCTTTGTTAGACAGTATTTAGGAGTCCTGTGGACTCTTTGCAAATATTCCTGCTTGTTTCAGTGTTATAATTGACCAGGTATTTTTCCTGACATACAGATTCAGCTATGTGTTTATCTTAACCACATGAAGTTATTCAAGGATTACAGCAACAGTAGTCTTCCATTCAAAATGAGAACAATTGTTGAGAAAACTTGGGGATTTTAGAAAAAGAAGATGATAATGCAGGAATTCTTTACAATAAGTGTTTTCAAAGGAAAAATACAGACTTTTTGACAGTATTTTAAGCAGTGTTATAACATTTGTTGCATGGCTTTTGAGGGTAAATCTGTAGGCAGAAGCTGATTAACAATGTAAGAGGAGCCCAGGCTGACCTTAAGAAATCTAGCAGCAGTTTAGAATTACAATATTTTTCTAATAAATGTGTCTCATATAGCAATATCATGAGGCGTAAACTTACGTTAACAGGTGTATTTTACACTTTAAGAAGGCATACTTTTAATTATAGATAAGATTAGTAATTTATTAGTAAGGAGAAACAGTCAAAAAGTCCTTTCGTATGAACTGTTCATTTCCAATGTAAGCTGTATTTAAGTTCATCCTTAACAGAGGGTAATCAGCTATGAGGAGAGAGCACGATACTTACAAACAATTGTCCAGCACCATTTAGAACCAACAACATTTGAAGATTTTGCAGCACAGGTTTTTTCTCCAGCTCCCTACCATCATTTACCTTGTGATGCAGGTAAGATTAAAAGCAAGTATTTGTTGTCACTGGAACTTCAAATGCAATACCCTTTTCTTCTAAAAGAAAAAAACAAAAGTTTGCTTGAATAAAATTCTAATCATTGAAATATATTTTTCACCACTATTTGAATCTAACCTGTACATTTGATTTATGTTTTCTTTTACCTAAATGTGGTTCGACAATCTTCATAAAAGTACAGGTAGCGCATTTTATCTGAGCTAAAAGTTAATGACTGAATCTCATGGGATCATAACTGAAGTATCTGCAAAGGGACACAAGTTGAGTATGTGCTCTCAACTTTACGAGATCAAATTTTATGGCCAAGAATATTGCCTCATCATTTCTACTTTTACAAATAAAGCTAAAGTGGTCTAGATTTAGAAGTACTTGCTATAGCCAATTATGTTATATTTAAGGATTATTAAGAGGGTACTGCATTAATACAATTAACTAATTGTAAGAAATCAGTAAGAATAAAATGACTCGTGGCCTTCCTATTCTGTAATATCTTGCACTCCTTATGATTGTTTCATTTATTTTATTTTCCCTCTTTAGATCATTAAATATCAGTTCTGTTTATCTGAAGGTAAGACAAAGTGTCAATCAAAACATCCTCTGTTCTTCTCCCATTTCCTTTTTTCAAAAGTAGCAAGCTCTAAGCTTGTAATTCAGTCAGTAAGCAAACTTAACACCCTTGTTTATACTAAACATTTCAGAAATTTTCACTAAATTTTTTACAGAAGTATACTAACCCAGGTCTGCATGAAACACTAACATGGTTTGGGGATTTAAATAACTAATAATAGGACTCCTTTGCTGAAATTAGTTATATTGACCCTTTTTGTTTGTTTCTCAGCATGAAAAAATAGTACTATTTAACTGAAGTGGTGTGTCTTTGTATCTTGTAATGTGTTGGATTGTTACTAGATAACTCCATCAAATGGCTTTCCTCTGTGTGCCTTGCTCTGCACTAGGCAGCCAATGTGCAAAGATGAGTGTTGTAATAGTGTTCAAGGGAAGTAGTAAAAGAGCATAATAGGAAGTTAATGGTAAGAAACCTTTTACTTTTGTTTGTGGTGAATAAATAAGTTTAAAGACATGGCACTCCTATTTTAACCTAACGTATCTACATCTACATTAAGAAGAAGAAAAAATTATACTTCTCTTTTTTTTAGAATTATACTTCTCAATAAAAGAATAGTTAATAAAACTAAAGCTTCCCTTCCTATCAGTGATTTGCCATTAAAAAGATAACTTTGCCAAAAAGTTAAAGCCCTTTTAATTAATATAAAAGATCTAGCAAAGAAAAAATTACCTTAGACTAGGTTGAATTTTTTTAATAAAACAAAAATTGTAAAATTAGCTTTAATGGATTGACACTATCTAAAATTAGTATTGGGGGGAAAATAAAAGACATTAGTAAACGGCAACATTAAAACTAGTTAAGTATACCTGGCAATGTCATTATTAATAATAGAGAATATCAGACTCCATTGAAATAGGTATGAATAACACTCCTGAGTATAATAAAGTCAAGCCATAAACTATAGATAATTGGACCACATTTGGACTAACTTTTCCCTTTATATGTACATAAAGGCTCGTCAGTTTTCATGTTGCAATTATTTACCAGCTGGAGTTTTTCTTTTAGTACAAATGTTAATGTTCTTTACATATTTTGCATATTATCCTGCATGTTTAGTCAGGTGTAAGATATGTTAGTATTCTCACCTTCCAAGACATTAAGTATGACAGCCAAGTCAAAGCTCAGTTGCCCTCATTTTTCAGTATGTTAATGTTTCATTTATTTATCCTACAAGTTATTTAAAGTATAATTACCTAAGTAGTAATAAAATGTTAATTTGAATATAAACTTACTACTGTGCTGTAAATTTCTTTGAGTTTTTTTAAGAGTGTTTTTGCCTGTAAATGCTTGTGACTATATTACTAAACTCACTCTCTGTGTAAGCTTTTGGAGGTTTTAATCATTAGGAAATAAACTTTCTATCAGAGCAGTTCTGAGTTCAACACAGTGAGATTAAATACTGGCAGAGCACTGGTGGCTCACGACTCTGAGATCTAAGGATCAAAGTTCAAAATCAGTCTGGGCATACATAAACTTATAAACTTAAGTCCATGAGATGATCATCTTCTGTTAACCAGTTTAAAAAAAAAAAACAAGTAGAAGTATGGCTCAAGTGGTAGAGAGTCAGCTGTGAGCAAAAAGTAGTGACAGTGCTAGGCTCCAAGTTCAAACTCCAGTACCTGAAAACACACACATACACAAAGTTAAAGACTACATGTGTACTACAGTGTCAACAAAAATGTCTTAAAGTATCTAACAAATAATTTTTGTCTTCCATTTATTTCAAATCTTGATTTTTCTGTCATGACACATGCATAGAGAACTATCTTTATTTTGTGTTGCTTAATATATTTCTTTACATTATTATAGAGTTGTCTTTAAAGTTTTAATTCAGAGTGGGAAAGAGTAGACATGAAGTTAAGCCATTGGAGAAATTTGGGCTTGACATCAGCTTTTCAAACATAATACAGCGAATTTTTTAGGTGTTTTGTTTCTTTGGTTGTTCATTGCTTTTTCTTTTTTCTTTTGTTTCTTGACCCTAGACTGGTCTCAAAACAATCCTCCTGCCTCAGCCTCCTGAGTGCTGGGAATATAGATATGCACTGCCTAGCATGGGTAGATTTGTTATTTTTAACATAATGATAAAAATTTACTTACCCTATTGAGGAAATGGATTCATAATTGCAATTGAAAATCAATTTTAGGTTCTTATATATAAAATAATCACTATTAATGCACTAATTTGAAATTAAGTATAAAGAAATAGCAAATGTGATAATTATATTCTTTCAAGCCATCCTTACTTCGTGAATAATATAGAAACATATTTTGTAGGGGTACAGAATACACAGCCCAATGATAAGACTGCATGTTTAACATGCTCAAAGGTCTGGGTTCAATCTCCAGTAGAAAATAAAAATTGAGGATACATATAGATGGAGGGAGAAAGAGAAATGTTTTTTAAGTTTATATAATTTGGTACAAGATGATCTAAAATTTACTTTTTGGTTAACAAGGTATCAAGTGTTGATATTTAAATCCAGTGACTTTGTTGTTTTTAGTAGTGCTAGGATTTGAACCTGGAACTTTGTACTTGCTAAGCTCTAATACTTAGGCCCTTTTCCCACTATTTTTTAAATGAGTTTTCCCTTTTTGCCTGCCCAGCCTAGATCGCATTGCTCATATTTATGCTTTCCAACTACCTGACAGGCACATGCCATTATACCCAGCTTTTTGTTTTGTTTTGTTTTGTTAACATTGAGATGGGGGTCTTGGGAACTTTTGAACCCAGCTGACCTGAAAATGATCCCCCAGATCTCATAAGTTGCTAGGGTTATAGGCATCAGCCACTGTACACGGCCCCAAAAGGATTTTAATATAACCTTCAGTGTTTTTTTAAGTGAAAGATTTTGATGTTTTGTGATTGATAAAATGTATAACTATATTTTCTCAAAGTGCACTGTCTGTGGCACTACACGGATACTTAAGGGAAATTATTTTTAACCCTAAGGTCATTGAGGGAAATACTGTGATGTCACATTTTGTTGATCTTCTGTAACTACATTAAAACATTATTAGATTTTTCTTGTCTTTTATTTTAAAAAATACAGGAAAAACCTTTTATCATTATCAGACATGTATTAGAAAGTATCAGAAGTTTGATAATGACTTTTTTATAACCTTTTTTTTAACATTTATAACACCTCTCCCCTCCTGCCCCTCCCTGTGGTAGTTCAGAAATTGTTAAATTTTTCCCTACTGTTTTCAAGAAAAAGGATTCTATTTTGTTGAAAATATACATTCCATTTTCTCAATTTCAACATTAAAAATACAACCATAAGCTAGGCACTGGTGGGTCACACTTGTAATCCTTGCTACTGAAGAGGCTGAGATCTGAGGATCGTGGTTTGTGGTTCATAGCCAGTCCTGGCAAGAAAATCTGCAATTCTTATCTTCATAAAAGCCAAAAGTGGAGCTGTAGCTCAAGTAGTAGAGTCCCAAGCCTTAAGCAAGAAAGCTAATGGACAGTGCCCAGGCCCCGAGTTCAAGCCCTAATACTAGCACACACAAAAATTAATACTAAAATATATACTACATATTTATGCCATCAAAATCAAATAAGTTGGGCTGGGAAGGTAGCTTAGTGGTAGAGCGCTTGCCTTGCATGCCTGAGGCCCTGGGTTCAATTCCTCAGCACCACATAAGCAAAAAAAGAAAAAAGCCGGAAGTGGTGCTGTGGCTCAAGGGGTAGAGTGCTAGCCTTGAGCTGAAGAGCTGAGGGACAGCGCCCAGGCCCAGAGTTCAGGCCCCATGACCAGACCCAAAAACAAAACAAAATCAAATTTAAAGTTAATAATTATGAAGACTTAAATAGCGTCAAATTCACCTTCATTCTAAGCTCATTTTTGTTACAAATACTATTTTACCATCTACAAATAGCGGAGGATTTATGATTGTCAGATCTGTCTAAATCTCTGAGATCCAAATTATCAAAATTTAGCCTTTGTAGGCTGGGCATGGTGGTACACAACTGTAATTCAGCTATTCATGGGGAAGACTTTGGAAGATTACAGTTTGAGATCAGCCCCATAAAAAAAAAAATCTGGAAAAAAAAAAACTAAAGCCCAAGGTTCAGAGGCATTACTCAAGCAGTATAATGCCTGCTAGGCAAGCAGGGGCCTTTGAGTTGAATCTCCAGTACCATCAAAAAAGAAAAAAAGGAAAAAGCCTAAGGTCAATGTTCTACTTTAAAAGTTATTTTAAAAGCTGGGCGCTGGTGGCTCACACCTGTAATCCTAGCTACTCAGGAGGCTGAGATCTGAGGATTGCGGTTCAAAGCCAGCCCGGGCAGGAAAGACCGTGAGACTCCTATCTCCAATAAACCACCAGAAAACCGGAAGTGGCACTGTAG